GTCGGCTATCATAATTTGCAGGCTACCTTTTAACTAGCCAATAGGATTAACAAGAGGATTTGGTTTCTAACATGATACTCGTACACGGTATAATATAATATAATATATAAAATTATATATTAAAAAGATCGTTCAAAAATTAACATATTATAAAATATATTAATTTCATTTGAAAAAAATAAATTATATTCAACGGATATCGAGTATAAGTATAGTATTATTCAAAAAAAAAAAAATAGAAATAAAATTAAAATTAATATTCAACTAAGTACAAAAATTAGTACGAGGACAAATTTTCTGGGTTAGTATAGGAATGCATAGATTGGTATACCAATTTGGTATACCTAGCAGTAGACAAAGCAATTAATATAACCAAACCATAAATGGAGCAAGACAAAAATGGGCAGCTGCTAATAGCTCTCCCCCCTTTCGGTTGGTGGAGATTTAAGCATTGCCTTCCCTCCTCCAAAAATGTATAAATTAAATAAGAGATAAGGACCAATTTTGTTGATCCTTAAACTCGGCCACTTTTTCCATTTTCATCCCTAAACTTTATTTCTTTACCAATTTTGTACTTGAACTTCAACATCTATTGACCAAAATGGTCCTTCCCTTAAAAACATTGTTAAATATGCTTTGTCTACTGCTAGGTGAATTACATTTTTTTTTAATTTCGTTTACCCAACTGCTGCAACTTTACATACTAAAATAATATGTCAACTTCATCGACTATCCCAAAAATAAAATAATGGAGAACAGATTTAAATAATTATAAATAAATTAATAGAATAAAAAATAAATTTAATTGTTTTTTGGCATCCATTTGGGATTAATAGAGAAGGTTGCTTGGGTAAATGAAACTACTTGTAAAGACTTACATTATTATTGCATTTATTTACAAATGAAGAAAGCTTTCTATCAGGTTAACAAGATTAATTTTAGTCCTTTATTTAGATTAATCTTATTTAAATATTTTTATTTTTATATAGCCATTTTTTTGGGTAAAGTTCAATAACAAATTGCACCCAAATTTAAATTTAATGACCAGATTAAAACCAAGTGAAAAGTTTAGTGACCATTGGTGTAATTAGTTTAGCAGTAAACGGAACATAGTTAACTGAAACACTATTTTGGTTAATAACTCTAAACTTCAATTACCAAATTGATATTAAAAAAAAAAAAATAGTTTAGGGACCAAAATGGAAAAATTAGTTGGTTGTCCTCCCTAATTGCTGCAGCTTGTAAATAATTTTTTGTTAGTGTAATATTATCTTAAACCATAAACAATAACGGATTTTGGTAAACAAAACTTTTAGTTTCTATAAGGGGATGGATGGATCCATCGCACACCTAGTCCCATGATGTTTCTAAGGAATTAAAAGAAAAAAAATAGTAAAAATAATTTTTAAAAGAGTCGGACTCTTTTGAGCTGTTTATTTGGTTCAAAAGAAAATAAAAATTATTTTTGAAAGAGCTCAAAAAACTGTAGCCCTAATTTCAGGGTTTTATTTTTTTAATGCATTCCTCTTATTTTTATCTCATTTTTGAACTCTTCCTTATGTAAGAAAACAACAAAATAAAGGAAAATGTTAAATTTTTCTTTGCCAATGAACACAATCTATAAAAATATAAAATTTTTAATTAAAAAAATCTGATTTTCAAAAACCCATGTTCCAAACAAACCAGTTATTGCGTAAAGTTTAACCAAGTCCAATTTGGCAATCCAGTTATTTTTCTCCTAACTAAAGGTGGGCTGCCAATAAAGGTAAGGTGGCTAATAAAATAAAAATAGAAAAGTAGAAATTTAAGATTGAAATGAGATTAAACGATCTAGACATGAATTAAGTAGCAGAATTAATGTGCATATCTATGTTCCGTATAATATTGTTCTGTTGGTTCATAGATTATCTAAATAGAAATATACATTAATAAACTATATATAATATTTATATTGATAACTTATGCAATATAACACATATATCATATTTAAGAGTGTTTGCAAATATTTCAACAAAATTAGAAGTTGGAAACTTAAATAGAAGTGAATTATAAGAAGTTGGATGCATTATGAAATATACTATCAAGTTTACAAAAATAGTAAAATAGATATTTGGATATGTAATTTTTGTAATTTATTTTAGAAGAATAAAAAAATTTTAAAATTGTTTTAAAGGGTAATTTTGAATTTAAGAAAAAAGAAAACATTTCAAAACTACTTTTATTTAATTACAATAATACCATTAACATTTAAATTCTCTTATATTTTTAAAATTTATTTATAATTATATTTTTTATTACGTAAAAAATTTTGAAATTAGAAACGGGTTTTCAGACTAAAAGTGATTGTATGTAAAAATTACTTTTTATGGGTTATTGCAAACACCACCTTAATCAAATAGGGCGCCTGGCAGCCACAGCGGGAACCTGCTTCATGCATAATCATGGGCGCCTTCAATGGTCCCTGCTCTTACTTTTGCAAGAAAGAAGCTGCTTTTCTCAGGGGCAGAGGAAAAGGAGTCCATGGCTCAGTAGCATAGGTACTGATTTGTCTCTCTGTAGAGGAAAAACTTTAAAATATTACATAAAATCAATTCTCAAAAATAAAAAGAACGTTGGTATTCGATTTTTACAATTATTTAATATAAAATTGTTAACATATTGAATTAATTTAATCTAAAATTTAGAATTAGAATTCAATTAAAATATTTGATAAAATTAGAATTAATTATAAATATCTGTAATTCAAAATAAATGGATCGAATATGAAATTATACAATCTGATTTGTTAAGAATCTGATTCAAATTTTAATTATATTTTTTTAATTAAATTAATAATTTTATATATATGATATTAATAAATTCAAAATTATATAGATTAAATTAAGAAAATTAAAAAATTCAAAGACTAATATGATTAATAAAATAGAGTTGTGGGATTTAAATATAAAAGATGATTATTTTCTTGTTAAATCAGATTTTTTTATCAAATTTTGAATTGTCCATCGAATTTGAATATAGTTTAACATATATAAATTTTATAAGATTTCAGATATAGTAACACTTAATCGAATTCGGATTCAAATATATCTGATTTGATCTAAATTCGAGTCGTTTACGATCTTAATTCAATATCACTATTACGAGTTGTGGTGACATTAACAAATGTTTTTCAATGAAATAAATGTAAAAATAAAAGTTAAATATTACTATTTATTATGTCACATAATCTCAAACATAAGAGATAATTTGTTTGTTCATACAAAATATTAAAAGAATTATTACAGCTCGAGAGTTGCAAGTGGCAGTCCCTTTGTATATAATAAATTACACTTGCTGAACAGATTTTTTTGCAGGGGTATTCTCAATTTCTGGAGAAGCCTGTTTCAAACCGTCAACGTTTATAACGACACCGCCCCCGTTCTTCCTAAGATTTGATTGTAAATTTTCTGAAGTTTTGAAATGTGCAAGTGATGCAAGCTCATGAACAGATTCCGAGAGCTTCTCCGTGCAGATAACAACATCTCTTAGGAGCGAAGCCACAGTGATAACCGGTACTATCTCAAGGAGGTTGCTATCTCTCCAAAAGCCAGCTTTAAGTACGGATTGAAGGCTTTCGGCGGCAGCTTTTGAGTTGGCAACATGGATATCTGAAGACTCTGGTCTAGTCATTGTCTTGATGGCCGAAGCTAGCTCCTTGAGTGCTTTTCCGGATTCTAAGCTCATTTTCGTGCAAATTTCCTTAATTTCACTTCTGATTTCTGGTTTTTCCTGCATCAGAAATACCCAAAATTCAGTACGTTAAGCAGCTTCTGTATTCACGTAAGTGCTTATTTAGGTTAGGTCACTGCTTAGACCACTTTCTCTGTGTAGTATACTGAATGTGTGCTTCAAAATATGCAATTAAAGTTATGAGAAATTTATACAATGCTTATTGGTTTCTCTAAAAAGTTCACATTTTTAACTTTTAACCTACCGACTTTTTGGAATTAAGATAGCCATTAAGCGCTTCGATGTGATACGCGCATTGACGAGCCAAGGTTCCAATTTTTAGGTAGCGTTTCCATGGATGACTATACGTGAACTGGCCATGACCAGGCTCCCATCTTGCCAAATTTACCTGCCCAATTTGAAGTAGAGAAATGATCAGCATGAGACATCAAGGAAACTTGTACCATGGGAAAGATCGATAGAAAGAAAAATGATTTTACCGACCAAGGTTTCCTCCTTGCTTTCTGAATTTAGAACCTTTTGATAATCTTGCGAAACGGGCTGTTTGTCTTTTACTTGTTCCCCATCTTGACTTTCAAAATATTCATCTCCAAACCCTACAATTTTTCCTCTCAAAATGAGCTGGAAGGAAAACAACAAGAACAAAAGAGCTAACCAAGTTCTTAATGCTTTTATCTGAGTATACCTTCCAAGAAGTTGGCGAGCTTTTCGACGTTTCCAGCGACTAGATTGTGGAGGTCTTCACCGGCCCATACCGGGCAAACAAAGATGGAAATAATGACGCAGGCAGAGGCACCAATCAAAACTGTGGACAGCCTTTTGTGTGCCAGTTCAAGTATTTCATCAGTTTGAAACCAGACACTGCTAGCAAACTGAAGGTCAATATGAAGATGATCAAACCGTAGTCGTATCTTGCCTTCACTTTGGGGAAAAACCTGACGAATGTAGTCAATGCCGCTGCCCATATCACACACATCTTCAGTATTAATTTCAACACTAATCCACAAAACTAATGGATTGACATGATGGGTGGGATTACTATCAACATCAATATTAATATTTGATAATAATTTCACGAATATGAATGTTACTGCTCCCTGGGTTAGGATAAAACATTACCTTGTAAAAAAACAAATAATCCAACTAGTACGGGCTCCCCAATCTTCCCAGATAGACCAGCCAAGTGATGAACTCCAACACCCAGAGCTCCGGCTACGAGTGTCGCTAATCCTCTGTTTAAACCCTTTCCAATGGTAGCACCTTAACCTCAAAAATAAATAAATAAGTAAATGAAATTAGGTCGAAAAAATAGTTGTTAGTGGTGGATTACAGTGAACAAACCTACGAAGAATTCGAAAACAACCACCACGGTCATGACAGCCCACATCGCAGATGCACCAAAACTGCTGTCAGTAGGTTGAAAGTAACAGAATAGTGAGATCGAGGCGAGAGCCAGACCGACTTTCAACGAATGCATCACTCTTCTAGGATCATCTTCTCCGACCTTTTTTAAGCTGTCATATAAGTCCTTAATCCGCCGCCAGCTTCTCTCGAAGGTTGTCGGTTTCTTGTAGCTTTCAGGCCCCATTTGCATGGCTCAACGCACAAATGAAAGTAAGAGCTACCTGACTGGCAGTGATGCTACCGGTATGATTGGGGAGCTGCTTTCTAATTCTCATAGACTCTTCAAGCCGACAATTTATAAGATGAAAAAGGGTGTGTATGGGAGTTAAAAATTAGGTAGTTTTGAGGAACACGGCTTGTAATCTTGCGTACTTATCAAGTACTTGCGAGGAAACTTCATGGACGTAAGTGCGGTAAAGCCGGGATATTGGGCTTGAGCACTACATTACATTATATCAAGTCATCACAAAAAGCAAGTATTAAAATTTTTCCTCCTTATTATATATGTGATAATTTATTATATTTTTAAAAAAATTTGACAGATTTATTTTCTGATCTGCCAACCTCATTTCTGGTATGACATATTTGATGATGGGGCATGTCAGAAAACAAAAAAGGAAGAAATACATGCAGCAAAAAAAATGCTTACTGGGAATGATGAGGTGGCCGGAGTGTACAGTGCACAGAGTTATTTAATAAAATAGAAAAAAATTATTGCCCGGTCATTACCCGTATTATTCATTTTTTTACAATCTCTCTCTCTCTCTCTCTCTTCTTCGATGATGAGGGGGTAAAATTGTCATAATTATGATTGAAGAATGAAATTGTCATGTTTGCAAAAAATTAAAATATCTTTTCTTCTCATTTTTTCCTTTTTGAAAATTATAAGAAATTAGCTTATTGTTCTCTTCTATATTATTTGTAAGTTATCGTCAGCGTTTAAGTTTCCATAAAAATAAAATTGTTTTCTTTTGCCACAGAAACCATGAGTACCGCCATTAAGACCTGAAAGCGACAAAAATTTTGTGGGCATTTGTTTAATAGGGTTGGTGTGAAACTAAGTCAAGTAGCTGGCAAGTGGCCTATGGTCTAGTTTGGTTAGACCCGATTTAGTTTGGTTTGTTTAATTAATTAAATCAGGTAAAAAAATAGTTTATTTATTAAAAAATTATAACTTGTTAAATTTTAGTTTGAGCTATTAATCTTATAGACTAACCTGTGTTATATATATGTATAATACAACATATAATATATAAACTTTGATAGTTTATTATGAAATTTAATTAAAGAGATATTTTATAAACTCATATAAACTGAGAATTGTACGAGGACTTAATAAACTTTTAATTTATTAATCTATTAAGACCTTTCTAAAGTTAATTATTTTTGACCTCTTATGGGCTAATTCGATAAATAAGTAAAATCAAGCATATTTTATGGGCCAGTCATTGGTCAGAAGTTGAACTCAAAGTGTATGATTCATAAAACAGGCCTGGCCTATTTAATTCTTGACCTAATATGACTTAGAGTTATTTTCACCCCTACTTGAGAGGTTTAGTAAGAGAGAGTGAAAATTTAATAACTAGAAAGTCTTCTTGCATTTGAATAAATTATGTGGCTATAAAAAAAATAAAAGAAAAGAAAACAATTTACTTATATTTATAAAAATAAAGTGAAATAAATCCTTGTTTACCTTTTTTTTGAAAAAGAAAGATGAATAAACAATTTCTTCGGATGGGAGCGAAAATGTTTTTATCTCTTGACAAAAAAAATTATATTTGGAGTTCATAAATTTTTCTAATATACAACAAATGCTTAATAAGTTTAAAAGAAGAAGATCAATCAAGGGTTAAATTAACCTTTACATAAAATTAATAAATACATTATCAGTTAAGATAAATCTTGAATTCAGGTTTCTTAAATAATTAGATATACTATGTACACTTCATCATATATTTAACTTGTTGTTATTTATAAATATAATTTTCAATTAGAAATCTTAAAAATGTGAAAAATTAATAAACATAAATGTTACATGTAAAAATAAATGGCAATTAAAAAATACAGCCAATAATCTGATTTTATTTAACAAAAGTGAAATAATAAATATAAAGTTTTTTCTTTTGTTTTCAAAATAAATAGTAATAAATATAACAAATATAAGGGTCTAAGAGTTAAAGTTTAGGATTTAGGGGATACAGATTAAGAGTTCAGAGTTTTGGCTCTAAAGTTGAGGGTTTAGGGTGATTGGTTTAGGAGGTTATATGTTTAGAATTTATAAAGTGGTCAAACTACTTTTACTTGTTTGTGTCTTATAAATCTTAAAAATATATTAAAAAATTTTAAAAAATCGTCAAAAATAAAGTTATGTATTAAAAATTACAGTTGTTTAAAATTTTTGCATAACTAAATTATTAGTTGTCTAATATAAATTAGATCAACCAATTAATTTAATAGTGCACTGACTAACTATATTCGATAATTAAATAAAAAAATTTATAGAAATCAGTTCTTGGGAGCCTATTTCCTCCGAGAAATCGGTTCATTTATGTAAAAAAATCGGTTTCTCGGTAATCTATTTCTTTTGATAAATCAGTTCCTCGACACCGATTTCTCAACTACCAAAATTCAACTTATTTCTGTAAATAATTTTTTATAAATATATTTTTATAAATAAAGAAATTAATATTTATATAAAATTACCAGTAAATTACTGTATTTTACATTTTATAATTATTAGGCAACCCTGACCTAATTCCTGATCGAATTGTCCTTTCAATCTAGTGGTCTGATCTGATACCGCCATTGCTCGGTTTTGATTTTGTAGGCTACAAAATTGAAAAGCGAAGACAAATGAGTCTATTGCGCAGAATCTTTTGGAAAAGCATGGGTTAATATTTTTGGCAAGTAAATAAAAATTAGTGGGTTTATTGGTCAAAATGGGTAAAATATAAATTTTAGTTGCATATTCCAAATTGATTCCGCCACTAACTGGCTTCCGGCGGCGCCTAATCTTCTGAATAAAAGGAAATTACAAATTCACGCGCATAAAAGGAAATTACAAATAAAAAATTTGAACAGCCAAAGTCTTACAATGACTGATTGCAGTGAATCCAGATTCATGTTGACAAGTTGTTTTAATCATAGTTAGTAGAATACAGGAAAACAAATTACCGTATTTATAACATATGAGTATAAACATATATATTTGGTAAAAATAACATTTAATTAGTCAATAAAAATTATGAATTTACTAAAATTATATTATATAAAAATATAATTATATTACGGATAATTTAAAAATATGGAATAAAAATATGTTATTTCATTTATTTATTTACTCTTGTGTAAATATATTTTTCACATAATAATCACATTTTCATTCAAAATATATAATAATCATAAATAAAATATATTAGCATATATTTTTGTATTATTATATGATATAAATCATTAATAGCTAAAAGAAAATTGAGTGAAATTATGTTAGACTAATATACCTAATTAACTTTAAAGTAAGCAAGTATATCAAAATTTAAATATCAAATTTTGATTAAAAAATATCAATTATTTACAATGATAATCCAAAAATACCAAAAAAATATAGCATAATTAATATATCAAACAATTTGAAAATGAAATATTTAGAAAACTTAGATTATTTTTGCCAATAATATTAGTAGTAACTTTCTAATCTTTAAATTTCAAATTTGGTGGATAAATATTTTTATGAAACTTATAAGTAATATAATCTAAAAACTTACTAAAATTGTTCAAGTCAATATATTTCATATTTCGTTTTTCCAAATTAGAAGATTTCTCCATTGCTATTATATTTATCCTCATAAACAAAAAATTATTAAGTATTTTTTGTAATAATTTATATTTTGTTTGTAAAACTTTAAAAATATTTCAATTTCTTTCATATAGTATAAAGTGACATAATTAATAAAATTTGAAATGTATATTTTTTTAGTATTGACATAAGATCTCCATAATAGTCTTATCAAACTCGTATAAAAATGAAATATAATTACATACGAAAAATATTATTCGGGTATAATTCGTGTACATAGACCTATATTATAAAAGACATGTATTTTACCGAATCTTTCCTAAAGAGAGGAGAATGGATAATTTTTTAAAGAAATTATATACAACGAAGTATTATTGAGATGCAATACTTACTTTTACCAAGTAGGTTTTTAACTAATGCATTGGTAGCTCGTGACATCATTTGTTAAAAATAATACATCTACATCATCCTTATACACCATTTATTGAGGTTAGTATTACCAAAAATTTAAATAATGATGCAATCACTTCAATTTTAGTCAGTGCTTTAAAAATCAACTAATTTTCATATTATGTCTCAATAATAGATGTTTTTGGTGTTTTGCACATCAATATTATAATTTTGACTTTTAAAACTCAATTTTATCAAAAATGCACCTTTACTGTAAAACTAATAAATAACATTGCAGGTTTATATTATTAGGGGGTAAAAAAATAAAAAACAAAGATTTAAATATCATTTTCTCTATTTCTACTATATTCAATATTCTCTCTATTTTCCCTATATTTTCACTTATTTCTTTAATAATTTAATTCATAAATTATAACCCAAATATACAAAATTTTATTTGAATTTTTTAGTTTTCAAACAAATATAATTTGTGGCATTGCATATTTTAAATATTGTATGACAATAAATGTTCATTTTGTTTATTTTTGTTGGAGAATAAGACCATAGAGAGAAGAGAAAATTGCAAACAATAATTAAATTTGTATTATGCTTTTCTAATTTTTATGAATTTGTTAAAATTTTTTAAATAAAAAGAGCATGTTTTCTAAAAACTATATTAAGAATAATTTTTAAAAATAATGGCAAACATGCAATTGTAAAACACATAATGTCACAAATTATATTTGTCTAAAAAATAAAATAAAATATGACAAATTCGGGCTAGAATTAATTAGTTAATTTATGAAAGAAATGAGTAAAAATATATAAAAAATCCTAAAAATGTTGAATAGAGTGGTAATAGAGAAAAATGAGATTTAAATTTTACCTTTTTTCTTTTTTACCCTCTAATGATACAAATTTCCAATTTTACACATTAGTTTTATAGTTGGGGGTGTTAAGTGTCAAGATTATAATTTTGAGATATAAAGTATCAAATACTCCTATTTTTAGGATATAATATGCAAATTAGTCTTAAAATTTGGATTGAATTAGGAGTCGGACTGGTCTAGCCGTCAATTAGTTATATTATTAGTTTGGTTTGCCACAAATCAATGAAATTAAAATAACAACACTAAACTAACCAAAACGATGACTCAACTATTCGGACCAACGAATCATTTATAGCTTACTGAAATTGGAATGGCTCATTGAAGAAGAGATGAGACGCATTGCAATAAATTACCCAATTTTTAACAGAAAATTACTAGCAGATGTAAAAATCAACTAATTATTTTTAACGTTAAAAAACTTTTTATGGACAAGTATCGGTCGAAAAACTTATTTTAAAATTATTTTGAAATTTTTGACAAGAAAGATGATTTT